GTGCCCGGTGCCCTTTCCACGGGCCTGGGACTTTCGGTGCGAGATGTGTTATAGAGACCAGCCGAGAAGTCTCGGGGCTTCCACTGCGATACTTGGCATTTGAGTATTTCAGGTTGATGTGCTGAGCTTGTATCCTCGCAGCTTTGCTTACTGAAAGATCCAGACGCTCTCAAGTGCGGCCGAGGTGTGTGAGCAGTTCCCTGGGGCAAGCACTTGCGCAGAGTTGGGGGTCCACCTTGCCACCTTCAACCCAACAGCACCAGGAGAGAACCGGAAATGATACCCATCAAAGACAGCTTGACAAAGGCATTCCGTAAAGCTTTTCCAGGATGTCCTGTGTCAGAACCTGGGTTGCGCAAAGAATGGGAGCTCCAAGGCGAGCAACAGCATTGATCACATTGGAACAAATGCATGCGTAGTTGAAGTTCAGACGCACAGCTCAAACAAAACCCTGTGACGATGGCTAAAAGATGAGAAGCCAACATCACAAAAACACGCAGCTATCACAGTAGCAAAGCTTAAATCCCGAACTCTACCTGCGCTGAAAGAGCAGACACTCGAGAAACAGCATACATGTCACCTTGCGATTTTGTCTCTTGCCGGGAGACGGAGAGAACAACGATGCGTCTTGCGAGCTGTAGAACCGTGATATATTTGTCTTCTGAGGATCAAGACAGCACCACTGTTCATTGGACTTCCTTTTCACAAGCCATTCGCTAAATTTGACTCGCTAAGGCTTGCTCACATTTTGTCGCATTGAATCAGGCGGTTGGGATGACACGCTTTCTTCAGCTCAGCGCAGGCTGCTCCAGCAGAAGCTGAGGCCGTGGAAGAGGTTGGCTGGGCAGAGGCTCCCCAAGCTCCGTTTGCCTAAGCTTTGACGCAGACTTGTTGTTGACAACTTGTTTTTTGAGGACTGAGTGAGGTACGTTGCACAAGACTTGGATTTGCTTTGTTGATCTTAGATGTCGAGCGCAGCCTTGCATTTGAGCTGGGCTGTCATCCTGGTAGTGCAGCGGTTGCTTGCCTTAATTCATTGCTTTCACTCCTTGCAGTTTTATTACTTGTGGCAGTACCAGTTTTGGTCACCATGTCAAGCCGTTGATCGAATAGCTTCCTTGTTTCGTAGACGCCATCTTGGCGTCATGCACAGGCGCCTCCGGCGAGATCGGCGAGCCCAAGCTCTCCGCAGGCAGGGGGATGTCAGACGTCAAGCCATGGCTTTGCCTTCGGTTCTGGCTTGTTGTTCTATGATGCAAGCATATGGCAAGATGTTTCAGCATCGCAAGTGAAGGATGGAGTAGTTCATGTTCAGGTGAGCTGCACTGGTTCGTGTCGTGCAGAGAGCGGCAATAAACACTGTTGGATTTCACCAGTTGCTGGGCCACGGACTCGGCATTCTCTTGATAGTTCATCGAGATGTGCCCAAGGTCCAAAAACGTTAGCAACAGAATGGCCCTGTGAAGCCAGTTGAATCCACTTTACTCTTCTAGCTTCATGAGACGTGTGCCGTCCCTTCCTTCAGGCACCTGCAGAGGACTTGGAGGCGAAGGTGCCTCGGGGGGGCGGGGAGGAGGTGGGCTGCCTTTGTCATCTTCTTTTCCTTCGAGCTTTTGACAGAGACGTCCAACTTGCGCTGGAGACACCAGATGCGCGCAAGCATTGTGCCTGGCAACTGATATCAGCTGCACGTGAGTTGGCATGTCAACAGCCTATCATTTGTGGCCGGCCATCCTACGAGATCGACCAAAGTCTTTTTGAATATTAAACTTCAATAAACGCGACTCAATGCAAGGGTCAAAGCAGTACCGCGGATGGATGACATCCATTTGGTTGAAGCCATACCGTTGGTCGGTGTTCTTGCATGTGTGGAACGACTCATTTTAAACACCACAGTGGTTGGAAGCCTGCATGACCATTGTTGGTTGGACATCCTGGGGTTTCGAATTTCGGTGGTGCGAGCCGTGGATATCGCGGCCATCCCGCCGGTCACTAGGCGCCTCCCGTTTGGTGACGCGAGGTGAAGTCGCAGCAGGAGGAGCTGCAAGAGCTGTGGCTCCAGCTGCAACAGGCCGGGCACCGGAGGGCGTTTTTGTTTGTTTGTTTGTTTGTTTGCTTTGGTTGTTTGCTTGTTGGTTTGTTTGATTGTTTGTTAGTTTGTTGGTTTGTTTGTTGTCTTTTTGTGATTAGGGAGGTTTGGAGCCCTCAATTAGCTTAAACGAACATGGGGCGCGCTGAAAAAAAAGACACCTCCAAGTGGCCGGGTCACTCATGCCTCATGCAGATGCGGGCACTGAGTTCGGAGCCGCTCCGACCAGCTGTGGTTTGCTGTTTTTTGTGGCCAGCCAACAGCCAAGGCCCAATGCAACAACAGCCCAGGAACCAGATGCAAAAAGCAACCGCGTGCTGTAAAACAGGGACGTTCCAAAGTGGCACATTCTCACATTGACGTGCATTTCTATGTTTCTATGCACACGGACAAATGAAATCCAGTACGGAATTGATCGCTTGCTCTTCAGTTTGTTGGGAGTTGTCGACTTCGCCCCGCTGCAGGGCCAGCGTATGTGGCGCCAGACGCAAGAGGTGCCAAACCCTCCCTTCTGGAAACTCGGGCTGTCGCCCAAAGCCTATCCAGCGGAATGCTCCTGGAATCAGGGTGAGCTGATCAGGTTGCAGTATGCTCATCCCTTTCCTGCAGAGGCCTCCGGTGTTCTTCGCAGTGGATAAGCTTAACAAATAAACACTGCTCAATTGATGGAGCAGATACTGACTCGTTGAGCCGCTAAGCGTTAAGAATTAGGAGCAGCATTATCCAGTTGATTCTCAGCGAGCGCTTGCAGATTGTGTATTTCGTCATTGCTCAGTAGATGCCCCGCTTTTTACTGGAGGGGCGTTCCACCTGGCGTGGCTCAGAGCTTGCGTGTGGCGCAACCTTAGGCAAAGCTGGTCTGCATCACTGCTGCGCATTCACGCTGTTGATTCACAAACAGTCGAGCCGCGTCTGGGTCTTCCTGACCGAAAGATGCATTTTCACATGTTTGCAGGGCACCTGACCACATTGGGATCATAACAACAGTTGCCTCATAGGCGATGTGATATATATATATATAATATACACATATAGTATATACGAATATACACATTTTGGATGTTGATTCGCACGATCCCCGTTCAAGCTCTATCACCGCAGTACTAATCTCAACATAGCTGAGGGTTCTACAGGTCGAGAGCTTGTTTGTGAAAGGGAATTGCGTGCACCCCGAGTGTCAGTCAAAGTGTGGCCTTTGTTTTCCCCCCGCTCATCGAGCGTGCCATGCTTTGCGCTCCATGGCGGGCTGGCATGGCCACCATGGCCGTGGCTCGACCTGTTCAAGGCACAGGCCAGGGAGGTTGCTTGGGACTTCTGCGTGTTCCTAGGTCATACGCACATGTTATGCACACACGCACATACATATTATATATATATATATGCACAACTATTCACAGACATATACATATCATGTCGACGTACTTTTTTAGTGGGCGAGGTACTGAAGATTGGTGAGTCACACCGAACATCATGGAACAACTTTCAGGCAGCCTTTGATGATGCAAACCCGACCTCATCGCCAAATAGACATGTTGTTTGTATGTGAGTGCACAACACCAAGCGGATAATATCAGAGGAGCCAATACAGCCCCTTCGGAATCGAGCTGACCCTCGTGTCTTGACATGAACTATCAAGGTGCATGGCTATTGGACGTGTTCAAAATCCAATATTGCCAGCAAAACTTCCAAATGCCACAAATGGGGATGGTTTGTGTAATCCATTTGGGACTGGGAATGCCAATCCCCTTTGCAGGCCGACGCACGCGGACCTCGCGAAGAGCAGCCCCTGCCATTGTTATAGCCAACTCATTTAGAGTCGCAGGGGAACAACGTTTCATGTCCTTGGCCTGCCGGCAACGCACTTTCAGCGAGCGCCCTTTTGACCTTGATGCAGAATCTGCTCGAGCCCTTCCTGAAGCATCGAGGTGTTAGGGACTTGTGAGGGGCATGGCAAGAGGTAGCTTTTGCCGATTCCAACTTTCCGCTTAGGCCTGGCCTTGGGATTCTGCTCACCATGTGCTGGAGATTGATCGTAAAGCTCTTGTTGACGGGCGATAGGCAGATCCTTGTTTCGTGGTAGCTTGAACAACAACCTTTGGGTTCCCAGGAGAAGACTATGTTTGTTGGTCCACCTTGTTTTGCCATGCATTTTTTGGAAGCTTCAAGCATGGATGGCTGTTGGATTCTGCGTTGCAAGCCACACTTCGCTTGGCCTTCGCATTGCTCGGCTCAAGGAGGGCAGGGGAGACCCAAATGGGAAGGCAGGACAAGCAACGAACGAAATGGAGGGCAGCCCCTGATGGCCCCACGGTGCACATCATTGCATTGGCACTGGAGAAGTTGATTTGGTACCATTCAGAATCCATTCGCTTTCATGCCACCTGCTTCTGTTTGGCGCTTGGACATTGGACATTGGACGGCAGCTATGATGCAACAATCAAGCTTAGCAAGTTGAGACGACGAGATTGAAAGGCTTGAACATGTAGCATCCTTTGCGGCTAAAAGAGCCGTGTGACTTTGGAGCAGCTGGCGCAGTTGATGTGTCGTGGATGCACAGCGATGCACAAAGCAGATTGCTTCGGTGGAATCAGAACCAGGTAGCAGGCATGCGGGTGTGAGACAGGGTCGATTTTCGCTAGTTCCCTTTGGGTGCTCTACTAGTACTACAAGTGCGGTCCGTGAGATGGCGCAGTCCGATTGATGCTTTTGACGAGCCCATAGATTCGAGGTACCGTTAAGCCTCTTCAATGCTCCAGTGTGTACTGCCTCTTGATTGGAGGCAGGAACCCACACCGGCCCCTTTTTTGTGGTGCAGGCAGCTTCTTACTTCTCATCAGCCTTATCTTATCTTTGGGCTTGCGCTCATTGGGATCGGCTCAAACATCTGGGCACCCGAGTTGCCAGGCTCGCGATGGGTCTGGCCTGGGCCCTCAGTGCGGCATCCAGGGCTTCTTTGTCCCCAAAGTGTGCTGTGGATTAGCGAGTAGCTTGTTGACGTGGCATGTCCCGCCTCGGCGCAGTTGCTGCTTCTTTTTCTGGTTCACAAAGCCCAGATATGGCCCCTTCAGCAACGACGCTTTGTTGGTGCAACTGGATCAATGATTGAAACAGGACCGGCCGTGTAGATGACGTTCTAGTGTGCCATCAAAACCGGGGTGGAGGTTAGGGATAATCCCAACCATAAACATGGAGACCGTGGCACGGATACCGATGGGTTTGGATGACGTGGTTTGTTTTTTGCTCAAGGACGTCCTGTCAGCTGGATATCGGAAGCTCCGCGTGAGGTTGCGACGCCTCGGGTGCGGAGAGGCGGGCCACCGCATAAGTTGCCGGATGTGACACAGACCCTTCAGGTTGGGGTGGAACCCTTTTGGTTTTCCTTTATACCCCAAAGGTTGCCACGCCCGGGTATTGGTTCGAGTGCTTTTCAAGCTTCAGCTCACTGGCTTTCCGCAGCTCCGAGCGCTATCAGAATGCAAGTGGTTCCAGCTAAGCATTTGCCAAGCCCACAGGGACACAGTTTATTCATTGCTTGAACCTTGATGATGGCCATCCCTTGTGTTAGCGAATTCTAGCCACCAGGCCAAATTCAGAAAATGGTTCTGAATTCGAAAGCTTGCAGGCAAAAGTACCACAGGCTTAGATCAAAAGGTCGGCATAGGCCAAAGCCAAGTCAGCATTTTGGCTCTTTCTTGGCTCTTTCTTGGTTCTTTCTTGGCTCTTTCTCCACTGAAGTAGCACATCGATGGAGAAGTGAATGCCAGGCTCTCGCAAACGCGAGCCGGCCCCCACCCAGGACCCGGGATTCGACTCCTGTGACCTCGAACAAAATGCTCGGCCTGTTGGCATTCGGAGCTGAAATCAGCGCCTTGGGCTCATGCAGTGTCATGGAAACCGAGCGGGAAGTAAAGATGCGACTTGTCCCCCGTTGGGGGTGGCTTCTCTATCACTTTTGAGCGCACGGGCCAATTGCCAGGACAACAATGACAGTGATTGTGTGTCCATCAAACAATGATGGTGTTGATTGGATCTATGAAGTATAGCCCCATTTGTTTGCCTATGCTTGCGCCTCAGGAATGCCCACATAGCATGCATTCTTTGCATTAGGTAATTAGTTTCCGAGTGGGGTTCTTTTTGAGATCTCCGCGCCAAACAGGAAGCGCCAACCCTGCTCACCAGGCCGAGGGATCGGTCTGACATGCTTGTTCCGCTTCACTCCATGCCATGTCCTGCTCAGTGGTACTTATTGGTTTGGTGTTCGCGAGGCGATGAGGCAGGTTGTGTGGAGGCATTTTGACTGGTTCACATTGCCTTTGCCTCACCCTCAACCCATGGAAGGAGGCGTCGAAGAGAGCGCAGGAAGGCAAAAGTTCACTCACAATCCGTCATTTCAGCGGGCCACTGTCTGTTCTGAAAACTTGGGGGCAGGGCCAGCTCAATTCGACAAATACAAAGTTGCACGCTTGCGGGTGTTCCAAAATCCCCGTCGGATGCTTGTGCAGATATGAGATGAAATTTGAAAGGATTCCTCCACTGGAAGATTCGGCTGCAAGAGCAGACTGTCATAGCAGTTTTGGAATTTGCTGAGGGTATACCGTCTCCAAGTTACCTGCTTTGAAGCAATGGGAGCGCTGCAGCGAATTTACGAATCTCGACGTGCACAAGATGTTCTCAGCTGGATCTGCAGGACTGGACCAAAAGCATTGTTCTTCTTGCAGTTCGAAAAACAACCAAAGGACTTCAAGGCATGACACGTTGGGGTTCTGAGGCAGATGTGACCTCGAGGCACTCGGGGCCTGACCTCGGCCGCGTCGAGAGAATTGCCAGGCAGAGCCGCATTTCAAAGCCGCCGCCGCCCAGTGCGCGGGTCTTTGTGGCGGAGGCCTGTGATGCGAGCGGCGGTGGCCCAATTCGCTTTCCATCCCAAGATGTGGGAATGCTGCCATTAAATTCACAAAGCTGCGTATTCGATTTCATCCATTCGTTTCTCATTTGCTGGATGTCTAGGGCTACGGCGCGGAGCTCATCCGCCGCTTAATGCAGAACTTGGGCTGGAAGGAGCTTCCTGCGAAGGTGCGCTGGCAGAGAGAGAGAGAGAGAGATTTGGCTGTCGTACGCCTTTTCAGGTTGTTTAAAGGAAAACCACCATTCTGGGGGGTCCTCCTCCTATTTTGACTCTCCGCTATGTGCTTGCTTTGTCAGGGCGACGAGGGTTTGTTGGGTTGTGACGGATTCGGCGATTTCTGTTTTCGCTCAACGGACTTATTCGCTTGGGACAGGCTAAGCGCTAGCTGCGCGGCCGCGTTTTTGGTTGTTGCATGCGAGGGATCATCATCAGTTACCGATGAATCATCATCATTTCCCAGGCAACGTTGAGTTGCGGTCTTCCATTTGTATCTCTTGGCTTGGAAGAAACGGTATGGCTTCGTGTACCTAAGTTTGCGTTCCACTGTCTGCGCACGGAGGGGATTGCTGAAGGGGCCAAAGCCTTCCAGGCTGAAACATATGGGTCTGTCTTTTTGAGGGTACCTGTTTATGGGGTTTTAATGGGAAACCATGAGGACACCATATCAGAACACTTATCATTTGGGCGTAGCCAGCTTGACTCCGGTTCTTGGGCATCAGCGTTTTCCACGCTTGTTCTTTCCTTCTCTTCAGATGCTCATTCGTTCCACACACACACACACACATCAGCATTTTTCCGTCAGCTGACCCGGCACTCTTTGTGTTCAGCACGAGTTTAAAGGCAACTGAGCTTTGTTCTGCAACTTTTGCGTAACTTTCATGCGACTTATGTCGGACCTGTCAGAGGGTGTCTGCGGCATAGTTCCTGACCCGTCTTATTTCCGAGTCAATCTGCACCTGGCGGAGCAGGCGCTCTCCGGCCCTGGTTCTGCACCGCAGCTTCTGTGGAGTGGGAGCGTCACAGGCTGGGCACCTTGTCTTTGGCATGTTGTTTGATTCCTACAATGTTTGCAGATCAAACTCTGGAGTCTGTTGCAAATCCCTGTCTATGTGTTTGGATTCGAGCTTGGCCAGCTGCGACGAGTGGGGCACCAAATGGTACTGAGAATTAACCTATGTATCGCATTAGTGACATCTTTGATTGAGGCGCTGGTCGTTTTACACGCGAACACGTTGACAGCAGAAATGCACCTGCACAAGACACAAGAACATAAGAAGCGTTGCGAGCCTCTTGCATTTCCAGACACCTTGCCGGAAATGTCGGGGATCCTGAGAAACCACCTTTGGCCGTGTTCCATTTGTACGAGCATTTGGACTTCCAGCTGGATTAGAGGCACAGGCAGCGCCCCCCTGCGAGGATGCATTCATCCATCCAGAGATTCACCCCGGCCAGGCCGCAAACTCTTCAAAGACGAGGCTCGCGTTGTGCGTGAGGGGAGAGGCACTTGTTATGTGGCGAGCCTTGAGTCAACATGAGCCTCGGATTGACAAACTTTACTACATTCATCTCACATACTCCTCGAGTACGTGAGCTTCAAATCTGTCCCAAGACGTGTCAGCTGTTCTGGGTGAGCGGGCCCCCCGGTCTTGACACTTCCAGGACGCACACACGCACAGCCACTCGATCCTTGTATTGGACCATGGTATGTGAGATCACTTCAATTTCGGGCATGGAATGAAGTTGTTGTATTGTTGTTGTTTCTACCAAAACCTAAAATTGGAACGGAATGCCAGGCTTTAAGCAGCATGGTTGATGCCCTGAATATTGCGGCACTTTATTGAATTGCTGTTCCTCGCTTGCTTACTTGGGACATAGGGAACTCTGCTGAGCAAGACAATCACAGGCTGCCTCGCAGCAGCTGCCTCAAGTGTAGGAATTTTGATATTTGGCGTCCCATTGGTTCCAGGAAAGGGAGAGCCTTGCCGGAAGGGACCTGGGCTTCTGCATCCCAAGCCTTCCTTGCTTCTTGGCCCGGCTGAGGTTTTGCAATCCTGGCAGCGCCATCCTTAGCTGACGAGCAGGTGGGTACTACGCATACCAACAGGATCGCTATTCTATTTGCATCGGTTGGCCTGAGGCTGCTGAACCACTTCCCACGGAGCGGCGTCATTGGCTCCAAGAGCGGCTTGCTCTGGACCGCTTGCTTGGGGGATGAGTCGTTCTCATGTTTTCTTTTATATATTCCCAAATCTGCTGCTTTTGGTGTTCTGTGGTTGTGTTTCTTCTCCATTGGTGTTTTGCTGTTTTTGCCCCAGCAGTCCAGTCTTGCTTATCTGACAGGAAAGAAGGGTTTTGCCTCTCATACGTTTGCTCACCGTTTGTCGTATTTTCTCAACTTGGCGTTGGTAGGGGTTGTCATGCCACCACCAAGCTCAAACCACCGAGCTGTGCTCCTGCCCAGCTGAGTGACTGTCCTGACAAGGAACCAATAGGTGTGTACCGCTGAACAACTCACACTGCAGGGCTTTTGCCCTCCAAACACGTGTTTTGTATTCTTCATTTTTTGGATGTTGGGTGCTATGTACTGTACAGAGATCTCAGTTTGGCCTGCATTAGCCAAAATAGCACTGTTTTGCGGGGGGTTCGCATCTTGAATGGAACGTGCAGCAAACTTATATTATGATGTACATACAGAATGTATATATATATAGTTATATACACATGTATGTGTATATTGCATGCCCAGCATGCATGGGCATATGTAGTGTAGATATATACATACATACATTGGCCTATGCCTATCATATCTTCACACTCTTTTTGTGAGCTACATCCAGCATATGTCTGATATCAGCCAAACATATGTAGGGCAGATGTGTAGCAGACCTTGACTTTCATATGTCTGGTTGTTCTAGCATAAATCTAGAATATGTGGGTGGGAAGCCTTGTTTGGTTCCTTGGCTTTGTCCTTTTTGTTTTTGGGTTTCTACCTTTGTATATGCTTG